AACCGTCCCCACGTTCGGCAAGCTGTGGTATATTCAGTGGGCATAAGCGATGTTAATAACGGTCAAACTGTCATGCGTTTACTAAGATGAGGTCTCCTCCCCCTTCCATCCATACATCCTGATAAGGACATCGTGCTGCTCGATGCCTTCGCATTTCCTGCGGCTGTACCCTTCATCCTCTTGCCTAAGACTCCTTTTAATACTCACAAAAGACAGTAATTATTTGCAAGCTTAATTCGATAATTGGGAAAAAATGAAATTCTCTGCCAGTAGTATTGGATAGACTCACGCTTTCCGTGGTCCTTGTTTGCCCGGCTAGCGTGCATCTCCATGAAGCGTCGACGCCGTATGAGGAAAATGAGTACCATAGTGACAATAAGCAACACCACGAAGATGGCCGAGAGGACAAAGATGATGACCCGATCGGTGAACATATACACCGGCGAAATGCCCTGGTCACCTTGGCTTAGCTCCCGGTCTCGACTGAGGTGCTGCTGTCGCTGCTGTTGCTGTTGCTGCTGATGAAGTTTTTGTTGGCCCTGTTGTTGATTCAGGCTGTATTTATTTGATTGTGCCGCTCCCAGGCGTTCGGAAAGAGGACCCGTAAGCTCCAGCTGCTCGTTTTTTAGGGATTGGGAACCAAGATCCAGCAGGAGGCTGGGATCGAACGTGGTTTTCTGAAATGGGACAAAAAGGAGTCAAGTTTTTTAAAATATTTTTTACTAACTGCAGTCGGTCACTGAAAGCCTCGCTAGAAAAAGATTCGTCAGATTGGTGAGACTCAGTTGACAGATTGGGAATCACTCGCTGATGGACGTTCACCTGACCAGTAACGGGACTCACCTGTCCCGCACTGCCTTGGGTCTCGACAGAGGCCCTGACAGCCGTAATAGCTGCAAGTAGGTAGATAGTATTGCCAGCAAAGACAAGGGAGACTTGAATGGCCATTTCTGGCTCATTAGCCATCATCAGTCAGTCATACCCAGAGTCAAGTGGTGTCCCACCCGAGCCTCAAACTCGCGACTCTGATCAAAAAGGTCGCGAGTTCGACGCTCGGGTGGGACACCGCTTGAGTCCGAGTATGACTGGCTGACGATGGCTAATGAGCCAGAATTGGCCATTTCAGTCTCCCTCGTCTTTGCTGGCAATAGTATCTGCCTACTTCCAGATTGGGAATCCCCTAAAAGGAGAGAGATTGGGGTTGCGAGCTTCTTTTGGCAGATATTCAAACATTTCCTCGACTGAAGGTCATTTGGTTTGACCTGCAGACGTATGTTTGCTCATTCGCCGAACGTATCTTCCAAGTGACGAACGATGGCTGATTGAAGATTAGGATGGTTAGTTGCTTAGAGTCTATCTGATTTGTTTTTTTGCCCGACGGAATACTATTTCAACCGGCTTTTCGAAGGTTGCATTTTAGATTATTTACGACAGAAACTAAATAGGGACAATGAAATCCACATAATTTGTGATCTGTTCGATAGTATATCTTACCTACCGAGAAGAGAGATTTCTTCTGAGGACTAGAGCTAAAGAAATAAATACTGTTTGCAAAACTAGCGTCCTGGCCTACATCTCCTACTCACTAGATCACTTGGCGTGAAAAAAGAGACCAACGTTCCTGTCTTATGTGGAAGCAAGCCTTTACTGGTTTTCGAACTTCGTTATTTCTCATGATAAGATCCTATGTGCGTATTTCGAAATTTAAGAGATTCTCAATGGTAGAATTTTCCTTGTTCTTCCACGTAATTGTCGACTACAGAAAAAATGAACTGACTTATTGAACTCCAACATCGAGTGAACAACGTGCTCCATCACAAGCTGAGCCAAAAATTTCCCTCGGAAGTACTAGTCAGTTACGCTAGCTGATACTTGATTGGTCATCTCCATGATGGAGGGGAAAATCTACAAGGCAACCAGTGAATATAGTGCAATCCGTCGAATACTTTCGCAAACAGGATCAATTTTAACTCGGAAGTGGCGCGTTGGGGAAGGTTACGTGAATCGTCTCTGATGCTGCTTCTGATTATGGGTTGATGAATGAATCCGAAATGTCAGGTTAATACATTTCTTGTTCCAATGATCGCGTCCACTTCTTGTCAGGCGTACTTGAATTTGCATGCAGTTAAGCATGGTATTCATTTTCTTCTATACTTCATTGCAGTCGTCAGTTCAGTTGAATACGCCTCAGTTTATTTGGGGGAAATTTAGATGCAGGCAGATAGTATTGCCGGCAAAGACAAGGGAGACCGGAATGGCCATTCCTGGCTCATTAGGCGTCGTCTACTAGTCAAACCCAGACTCAAGTGTTGTCCCACCCGGACCTAGAACTCGCGACCTTTTTGATCAGAGTCAAACGCCCTAATCAGTGAGCCACGAGCTCGTTGTCTGGCCGCTCATCAATGAGTGTCAATATATCCCTAACTAAACTGGCTAGACAACGAGCTCGTTGCTCAAAGCTTAGGGCCAAAAAGGTCGCGAGTTAGAGGCTCAGATGGGACACCACTTGGCTCCAGGTATGACTGACTGAGGACGGCTAATGAGCCAGAAATGGTCATTTAAGTCTCCCTTGTCCTTGCTGGCAATACTATCTGCCTACATTCAGCTGTTACGGCTGTCAGGGCCTCTTTCGAGGCTCACGGCGGAGCGGGACAGATGAATTCTGTTTGTGGTCAGGTGAGCGTTCATCAAAAAGTGTAAAATTTAGATGTATATCTATTGCGAATGCGCCGATTCCCACGATTACCCATTTTACAGAAAGGTCTCCGAGTGAAACTCCACGCCGATGTCATGAGAGCGCGCCGTGGCTATCGATTTTTCGTGATAGTTGATTGGTCCCCTGTCACTGACGCCTGCTCATGGAGTGGACTGAATAAATTCCCCACAGCCTTTTGTAAGAGTGACTTGCTTGACCTGTACTTTGCGAATACACTCCTCCTCCTGGCCAATTGCCTCGTCCTCTTTTCTCGTGCGGTCGTTCGGGGCAACAGATAGGCTAGCTAATTACGAGTATCAGGCGCGGGTCGTAACAATATCAAAATGCATAGTCCAAAGG